GCCAAATGGTCATTTATCTTTTATAATTATCAAGAGTTACACCTTATATACCATTAATATACCGCTATGTATTTTCATTTGTGGTATCCTTTCATGCCAATTATGCAATGTTATATATTTTTATTTATGGTATCCTTTCATCCCAATTATGCATTATTCTTCATCTAACTTGTATTAGTGACACCTTTATGCCAAAATGCACTGTTAGGCATTAGTCTTTTATCCTAAAGACATTTAACCTTTCTTCTAACTTGCATTACTAGCACCTTTTCTGCCAAATGAACAGTTAGGCATTTAGTCTTTTATTTTAGAATATTTTATACTCTAATAATTATTCATAATATCAATTAACTCTTTTAATTTATTATAAACCCTATAATTTTGCACCCATAGTGCTAACACAGTAATTTACCAACTTTCTAGTCATGATCATTTTATTAAGATACACACGTAGTGCCTATATGGTCGTTCATCAACATATGATGAATTCCGTGAATTGCACACTTAGTGTCGAAATGGTTGTTCATCAATATATGATGAATTCTGTGAGTTACACACATAATGCCGAAATGGTTGTTCATCAACATATGATGAATTCTGTGAATTGCACACATAGTGTCGAAACGATTGTTCATCAACATATGATGAATTCCGTGAATTGCACACTTAGTGTTGAAACGGTTGTTCACCAACATATGATGAATTCCGTGAGTTACACACATAGTGTCGAAACGATTGTTCATCAACATATGATGAATTTCGTGAATTGCACACATAGTGCTGAAATGATTATTCATCAACATATGATGAATTCCGTGAATTGCACACTTAGTGCTTATTTGGTAATCATCATACAAATATTAAGCAATCATACATCTATGACTAGTATCACATATAGGTACACAATAAATGCACTCACATGGCTTGCCTCACTATTATATCCAAAACGCAAATTCTGATTACTCAGCTACTTTGCCTTTGTCTTTAGTTTTGCTTGACTCGGAGCTTGATTTCGATCTACTCAAGCATCCATTAAAGACACGTACAATATCATTTGTTAATATATTTCCTAACATTTATACTTTAATAATATTCACAAGTATTATTATTTACATTTCTATAACAATTTCAACCAATCTTATAGTTTCAGGCTCCATGGCATCGATACCCCTAGCATGGCATCGATACTTCTATACTATGGTACCAATACATTTCTCTCAGTATCGATACTACTACACTATGGTACTGATACTCCTTTTCAGTATCGATACCATTTTGGCATTCTGTTATCCATGGTATCGACACTTTCCCTTTTAGTATCGATACCCCATCAGTATCGATACCACTTGCATCGTTACCGATACTGTTCGTCACAATTCTACCCATTTAAGCCTATAGTATCAGTATTGTTCTATCAGTACTGATACCCTTACCCATTTTACCATTTTTCAGCCCGATTTTTACTAAATTTTCCTCTCTAATATCTTACTTTTACCTCCAACAATACTATTAAACTCTTCTTTACATAACCCAATTAACTTTACTTCATTTAACCTCTTATAACATCTAAAATCTCCATAGAACATCTCAACTCAAGAATCGTATCACTTTTTCTAGCATGTTTTTACTGATATCTAAAGCTTCTAATCTCTTATTTACTTCTTTGACAAGTCAAAAATACTAATAAACATTTGTAAAACCTCATATTCCAACATATCATTCAAAAACCCATTTTCTCTAATCTTCAATAACTCATCCATCTCTTAGTTTAAATCTTATTTAACCCTTCCTTAAGCTTACATATCACTTAAGGTTGCAAAAACAAACCATAATTCGAAAGGAAAAACTAATTAGATGAAGTTTATCTTATCTATGGAGAAGGCCAAGTGAACACGGGAAAGAAGAAGAGAAGATAGCCAAAAATATTAACACTCTTCCCTTTTTCTTTACTTAAATACCATAATTCATTTCCTCTATAAATGTCCAAAATACCCCTTTCATTCTTTCACTCTTAGAAATTAGTCTTAACCAAATTCCTAAATTATTTTCTTATACTTTATCATTTAATCAAATACATCCTCAAATTCTAAAACTTTTCACTAAAGTCCCTGACCTGATATTTGGGGTATTACAACGGGGTTAATTGGATATGAAATTACCGAAAAGAGCACCATGAGATAAAATTATGAAAATGCCCTTGTAATGGAAAAATGACCAAGATTTCCTCGGATGGTGAAAAATAACTCTGAAATGACATAGTTGACTAATTATCTAAGAAACTACATATGATTAAATTTAAAGAAATTACTAAAATATCCTCAAGCTTCGTAATAACTATAATAATAACCTCTAATGATCAAAGGAACAAAATACCCTAAATGCTAAAGGGACTCGATTGCATTCAAGCCTAATATATCGAAAGTATGCCACTGACAGAATTGAGTGGAATGATGATGATACGCTTAAAGTGTAAAAAGTACAATGAATGGTTATTATAAGGGAGACGACCTAAGAATTTATGTTATGATTCACCTGAACTTTGGAATCATTGAAATTAATTCCGGATCTATATTGGAATGCCTCTGAAATGTAAAATGGCCCAATGAACATCTAAGCATTGTAATTAATAATACTTTCATCTAAAGAATAAATCAACCTTGAATACTAAATGTCCTAAGTAACCTCAATGACTTAGAATTAAGTGAGTGACTTGGATAAGTCTGGAAACATTGATGAACTTACATGATGTATTATCTCCATGGGTTGTGAACCATGAATCAAGTATGTCAACATATCCTAATAGTGTTGCAACATGGGAATGGAATAAAGACAATTGGAATATCTGTTCGTCTCCTTAATATATATTCAGCGATGATTCTGAAGGTGATTTATGGACAAGAATTGTTGGTATTATAGAGTGAATACCCTGGGAGGGCAACGAATTGACCGATCGACATGCATTAGTTCTGGGAGTTGTTCAGCTCGAGTTAACTCGATAATCCGATAGATCCACACAGATTGTAAATGTTCTGGATCTTCGTTTATCCCTTATCAGCTTAAATCACTCCGGTCATATCTGAACACACAAGTAACTCAGATGCAAATGATCCTGATTACCCCATTTGGTTCAATTGGACTTAAAATCCTGATAATTCAATTTATAATCCTGAATACCCCTGATTGTTTGGGTAATGGAATCACTCTCAGTAAATCTGAATATAGATTTATTCTGTATAAAGGTTCCTGAACATCTTCCTAATGCACCTGAATCATAGCGGGATTCTAAAGTATCAACTTTAAATGTATACTTTGATCAATTAGTAATCGATCCCTTTCAATAGGACCTCATTCCTGGAATCCAATAAAATTACATAAGTTTCATGTTTTCCCGATAACTATTAAGTGCTTCTGAAAAATACTTAGAACCTCTAGTGTGTTCCCCATGTACTACATGATTGTTTTATATGTTTTGAAATGTGTTTTATCGAAATTTATTGATTTACTAGCTTATGAACCATGGCTACATGGTATGTGTTCTCCGATTACGGTTTTCACTGAAAAATATGAATTGTTCCTGATTTATGGAATAATGAAATCTACTGATTTATGAACTATGGTTTCCTGTTTTCACTGGTTACTACTTGAACTGTTTTATTGGGACATTATCTGGGTAGGCTAAAGGTTCAGCTATGATCAAGCTGGTAAATCCTTACAGACCTAAGGTGACCCTTGGGTAGGCTTTGAGGCCCCGAGAAACTTTCTTGGGTATGCTCTCAAGCCCCAAGGCACTCCATTGGGTTAAATCATGGGACTATGTATATGGTGTACATGTGGAGGACAATTATATGGTTTATTTCATTAACACGTTTACAAGATTTTACTGGATCACAATCTAGATATTACGGTTTACTGTTAAAAATGATTTATACTGGATTTATATGGGTAGAATTCTGGAGTATGGAGGTTCAGCCCTGATCCAGCTGGTAAATCCTTATGGCCCTAAGGCATTCCCTTAGGGTGGCTCCCTTTGCTGTGTACTTAGGGTAAGCCCTTATGGATGCTGTTATGGGGAACTGCATAACAGTGTTCGGTTGGAGGGTTCTACTATGGTTTTGAAAACATGTTTTAAACGATTACTGTTTTAAAAAGATCTATATATTTTCACTGGTTTTGGTTGGAACACACTAATCACCCTATTCCAATCTCCTGAAAACATTATTCTCTCAATGTTTTCTATGAATTGAGATCTTCATGGCTTTTACTCGATGAACTACCTGTGGAACCACAACTCATCCCGAAAACCTGTATATGTCTGATTAAATAAGGAAATTTTATGGATTTCCATTTATCTGCATGTTCTGTAGCATCAATAGGTAGTTCTGTATTACTGAGCTTCCCAAAGCTCACTCTATTACTCACCATTTCAGGTTAAAAGAATCGTACCAGTACAACTATCGACATCAGTAAGGGAGTTCCACTGGTGTTGCTTATGGAGTACGGTGCATGTGATTAGGGGGCATGTAAGTTGTATTTTGTTTTTTTATATTTGAGTTTGAAATATGTTTTATATCTAAATACTGGTAAATTTTACTTTTGTATTTATAAGTTGTTTATATGATTTTACATGTTTTAAAAAAAAAATTAATTTTTCGGGATTTGTACGGTGGGTCGCTCCGGTGACCTAATGTGAAACCCGGATCGGATATGGCCAACCGCATCGATTCATGGGGTTACAGATTAGTTTTTTTAAGATAAAAAATATCTAATTATAATGAAAATTTACAACTATAATTATAAATTGAATACATAATGACATTTTCCTATAAATAATAACAAAAAATAATCATTTAAGATCACAATGATCATAAAAAATAAGTTAAAAAGTCTAACCTAATAAACTCGAATAAAATATAAATACAAACATCTAATCGTATAAACAAGTAAACTATAAAAAGTAAAAAAATAAATAAGTAAACATGAGTGTAGGATCCATAGGCTTTTGAATTATTTGAGCCCAAAATGCAGAAAGACTATCAGCGTGTGTTCTAACTTCTAAATTCCTTCCTTCCTTCCTCGCTGCTGCCTTTTGTTTTTCGTTTCTTCAGAGTAGAAGGGGACACTTTCCTTCAAAACTATGCGTTTATCTTCAAAGCGAAGGCTCTATTGTTTTACAAAAACGAGATTTTCTCGTCTCGAATCAGCTTACCTTTGTACAGCAGCTCGAAATGATGCTGAAGCCTTGCAAATCGCATCTATCCTTACTAAGGATGACTGGAAAGGCCTTCTGGAAACATCATCAGATTTGAAAATCAAGCTAAACCCAGAAATTATTCACTCCTTTCTTCTCCAAAACTCGGTTCTTGATCCCAAGCGTCTCCTCTTTTTCTTCAACTGGGCAAGTCACAAATCCCCAAACCCTCTAAAATTAGATTCTTTTTCGTTCCTAGCGCTTACTTTATGCAATTCAAAACTGTTTCGTGATGCCAATCAGGTTTTAAACAATATGGTTAGGACAAGGATGCCGGTTCAGGCCGTTTTGGGTTCAATTATTAGGTGTTATAAGGATTATGAAGGGAATGATGTAGACATTTTGGAGATTTTGATTGATTGTTATAAGAAAATGGGTTCTTCGGATGATGCTGTTTATGTTTTTTTGGGTGCTAAAGAAGTTGGGGTTTTGCCTGGTTTGGTTTGCTGTAATAACTTTTTAGGCGATTTGCTTAAGTTAAATAAACTGGATTTGTTTTGGAAGGTTTTCAATGGAATGATCGATGCTAAATTGGTGCCCGATGTTTATACTTATACCAATGTGATCAATGCTCATTGTCGAGTTGGGAGCATCAAGGAAGCAAAAAGGGTGCTTTTGGAGATGGAGGAGAAGGGATCTAGTCCTGGTTTGGTTACTTATAATGTTATGATTTGTGGATTGTGCAGAGCCGGTTCTGTTGATGAAGCATTGAAGTTGAAAAATTCCATTGCTGAAAAGGGTATCAACCCTGATGCTTATACTTACAATATAGTTATCGATGGGTTGTGTAGGGAGAATAGATTACCGGAAGCGAAACTGATGATGGCGGAAATGGGTAGTGCAGGTTTAAATCCTACCCATATTGCTTACACGGCTTTGATCAATGGATTCATAAAACAGGGTAGTATGGCTGAGGCTTTCCGAGTCAAGGATGAGATGGTTGCTTGTGGAATTAAATTGAATGTTTTCACATATAATTCGCTTATTAGTGGTGCTTGTAAGGCTGGTGACTTGGAGAAGAGCAAAGCTCTTATCAATGAGATGGTATCAATTGGTATCGAACCTGATACACAAACATTTAGTTTTATGATAGAGAGTTATTGTCGACAAGGGAATTTTGTCAAGGCCCATGAACTGCTTGAAGTGATGAAGAAGCGCAACTTGAAACCCACAATGTACACTTACAACATGATAATTAGCGGCCTATGCCACTGTGGAGATCTTTGTCGAGCTAATAATGTTTTTGAGGAAATGATCAGGAAAGGGTTGAAGCCCAATGTCATTTTGTATACAAATCTGATGAAAGGTCATATCCAGAAAAGTAGATTCGAGGAAGCAAGAAGGATCTTCGACAGAATGATGGAGAATGAGGTAATGCCTGATATCTTTTGTTGCAATACTCTTATAAATGGCTTATGTAAGGCCCAAAAGATCAATGAAGCGAGGAGCATCTTAGATGAAATGGTTGGCAGGGGATTGAAGCCTAATGAACATACCTATGTGACTTTCATCCATGTATATGCTAAGGCCGGGGAAATGGAGGGCGTAGAAAGGTGTTTCGGAGAGATGCAAAGTTATGGTATAGCTCCAAATAATTCTATGTATTCTGCATTGATTAACAGCCTTTGCAAGGTAGGAAATGTAACTGAGGCTCTATTGACATATAGGTGCATGTCTGAAAAAGGTGTGCTCCCGAATATAAAGACCTACACTGCGCTCATCCATGGCCTCGCGACAAATGGTAGAATTAATGATGCATTGCATCTTTTCTCTCAACTCAATGAAAAGGGTATAGTGCCTGACGTATACACCTATACTTCTCTCATTTCTGTCTTCTCTAAGCTTGGTAATATGGAGGAAGCTCTCAATCTTTATAATAAGATGTGTCAAAAAGGTATTGCTCCGAATATTGTTACATATAATACGATAATTGATGGTCTGTGTAAGGTAGGTGACACCAAGAAAGCTTGGGAGATGTTTAATGAAATCTCGCAGAAAGGCTTAGCACCTAATACTAAGAGTTATTCTACGGTTATAGACGGATATTGCAAATCTGGATATTTAACTCGGGCATTTCTGTTACTGGATAAAATGCACTCGAAGGGTGTTCCACCAGATAGTTTTACTTATTCAGCCCTTATCAACGGATGCTGTAAGGAAGGAGAAATGGACAAGGCACTCTCTATATTTTCCGAAATGATGCATAAGGGCTTTGCTTCCATCTTTTCTTTCAACACATTGATTGATGGATTATGCAAGTTGAGGAAACCAAATGAAGCTAAGAGGCTGTTAGATGTTATGATTGATAAGTCTATTCCTCCGAACCATGTAACCTATAGTATCCTGATTGATCATCACTGCAAGGAAGGAGAGATGGAAGAAGCTGAAAATCTCTTTCTGGAGATGCAAAGGCTGAATTTAGTTCCGAATGTTGTAACTTACAACTCGCTTTTACATGGTTACAACAGAGTAGAGAGGCGAGCCGAGATGTTTGCTCTTTTCGAGTCGATGGCTACTAATGGGGTTGAGCCTGATGAAATAATCTATGGTCTTGTTGCTGAGGCTTACGTGAAAGAAAACAATTTGATCAGAATGTTGAAGCTGTTGGATGAAATACTAGTGAAGGATGTTGCATTTGATAAAAACCTGTCTTTCCTTCTGCTGGATGCAGTATGCAATACAAAGAACTTTTCGGAAGTTCCGAAGTTACTCGAAGAAATGGCAGAGATAGGACTTAAGCTCAGTCCAATCACATGTCACAAGCTCATTTGTGGTTTTCACAATAAAAGAAGTCCGGAGACAGCTGAAAGGATTCTGGAGAGCTTGATCCGGTTCGGATGGATTCTAAATTCTACCACCCTAAATAGCATAATCGATAAAGATTATGATGTCGATTCAACCAAGCAAGGAACATGTGGAGTTCCTTGTCAGGTGTAAGCATGATTACAGGAGAAAAAACTAGAAATTTGTCATGTTGGATGCTTCCAACCAAAGCGGACGACGATTCAGGTGATCAAGACACTCGGAAAGTTCAGTGATAGTGACTAACATGGTGACTTTGAATAAGAGATGTAGGCGGAAGGAGTACAAGGTTTCTCACATTGTTTAAACCACTAGTATTCTTCTTCTTTTTCCTTTGCTGGAGTTCTTTACTGATGGATAAATGGTCCCTGAGAAATATCATGCTTTATCTACCTGTTTGTATGTTGATTTCTCTATTTTTTGCATTATTTTTTCTAGGATTAAATTCTTCATGTTTGTTGCCAGTGGATACGAATAACACACAAAATAAAGAATGTATACACCAAATAAGTAATCAACTTCTGAATTCTCTCATGTGATACTTATATTACCATTATCTTTCCAAATTTAGATGAAAAAGATTCATTTTCTTATAACTTGCTCATAAGTGCATGAACATATGTTTTAATGTCACATTTTCTCTTGCAATTCAGCCGAAGCTACCCAATCCTCAAGTAAAATTTACATCCTACAATTATATATATAGCTACCATGACAGAGCACCCAAAGGAACTACCAAGATGGCTTGAAGAAACCTTTGCATTATGATGCAGTTTCACCTTTTGACTTTGTATACGAATAACCCTGGTTAATTAGAGCAAAAGATGAAAGCCCATCGTTGATTTCTTCCGTTTGCAGTGCCTAACATTCTCTTTTCGGATTCTGAACTACTATACTATAAATCTGCTAAAGAGTGCCAAAAGCTCATTATCATTGATCCCTGATGTCAATGCGAGCTGAAGAGGAGTTTTGCCTTCTCCATCCACAGCCTGTGGGTCTGCTCCCCTGCAATTTTGGAACCAGTTTGGGAAGATAACCAGTGTAAACAAAACTATTAATATATCATCTGTATATGTATGTATAATATAGGGTAGGAAACCCTAAATGTTTGAAATAAGAAAAAGCAAAATCACCTTGAAATAAGCAATTTTGCTATTGCAAAATTTCTGCCAACAATACAAAGATGGAGGGGCACCTGGCCTCTTGAATCGGATGCATTTACATTTGCACCATACTGAAGCAGTAGCTCCACCATGCCGATATCCGTGTTTAAGCAGGCAAGATGTAGCAGTGAACAACCGTCACAACGTTCCTTTTCAATCTGATCTCCTCTTTCATTTAACGAGCTCGAGGATCTCGACTGGTAGAGAGAGTCAACTGCAAAGCAATCAAAGTTGTAATTAAAGGATTTCTTTGGTGTTTCCCATTACATTAATCTGGAGTTGTGGACAGAGGGGTAGGATGTACAATATGAGGCATGACCATAAATGGTATTGACATCTGCTCCATTGCAAACAATGTGGCGGTATACAGCCTTCGGGTCATTAGAACGAACCCTTTCCCACACCTCTTCTGCTACCGAAAGGAGACGCGGATTGTCCGTTAACTTACAAACAAAAGCTTTCTCTGCATACTGAAATCATAGGAAACCATCAACTCCACATCCTAAAGAAAAAGGTTACTAAAACAACATATGCTACCAAGTAGGGCTATAAATGAGACGAGCTAGATCGCGAGCTACTTGAGATAGGCTCGATCAAAGCTCGATAAATACTCGACTCGAGTTTTTAACGAGCCGAAACGACTACTTCATACTCAACTCAAAAAAATAATATATTAAAATTTATAATATTAATATTTATGTGTTGGTTTTTTTTAAATACAATATAAATGTATTTAAGATTCAGGTTTGAGATTGAGCTTTAACCGGGTTAAGTTTAAGATTTTTTTTATTTCAAGCTTTTATGAGGTTTTTCGAGCTTCAACTCATGATTTCAAGTTCAAGTCGAGCTTGAAAATTATAGGCTCGTGAGTTTTCGAGCCAAGTCGAGCTCCATTTCATAGTTTTCGAGTCGAGCTCGACTCGGCTCGTTTACAGCCTAGTACCAAGTTATGGCATAGACGTTGCAAATATCTAGCAACATGTCAAAAACTGACTATGTATTAACAACTGCAAAGTTAAAGCCAGTGAATTAGACATCATTGATGCAGTCTTATTTCAGAAAAGGAAGCAAAACTAGGTAACCAGGCAATACCTTTGCATGGATAAACAACTCCTTCGCTGAGATCGGGTCATCGTGAGAAGGTTTCGTTTTGGGAAGCTGTTTTTGTCCTTCAGACTTGGAAGAACTAAACCAAGATAAAACGTATCATTATAGGAAGAGTTGCCCCCATCGAATCGAATAGTTTTACTTACCCCACAGGTAAGACAGTTTTTGTATGTCTGGAGTACAACTCCTCCCAGATTGAGTTCACATAGACATTTCCCAGTGATTGAAACAAAGCCAACACAGACGGTTCCCACACTTTAACATCAAGTGTCAGTGATCTTACCTGAGTAAGGTTATACAAAAGCAGCATGAATAGGCAATCAAAGAAAACAAAAGTAAAAGAGAAACATATGAGAAAGACACAAGGTTCCCAGAGCACATTCATATGATATACCTTTGATATATGTACGCCAAGATTGCGGTGAACTCCAGAACATTCAATGCATACGAGTAAACCAAGGTTTAAAGATGCCCAGTCTGGCTCAGGTGAACCACAATCTGCACATTTATCGTTCCCAGGTACTTTTCTTAAGATATCGATTGGTTTTTCACTCTTTTCGTAATATTCTTGATGTTGCAAACTTTTAGGCATATCTGAAAGACTCCCAGTGGAGGGAATCTTAGGCATATGTTGTCCAGTTGTTGTCTGAAACGCATCAGGGGGTTCGACTAGTGAACTGTCACTAGTCGAGCTATTATCACCACCACTTCTCATGGGGAAAGCAGAGAGAGACTGACAAAAACGTTTTAAGGTCATTTGCATGGAAAAAGAAACCAAAGGGATATGTAGTGAGGGAAAAGGAAATTTAATCAATTACCGTTTCAGGTGTTTGGGAACTCAATAATGAAGTAATCACTCCTGTTATTTTTTCAATCCAATCCCTCTGGTCTAGTGCATTTTCTGCCTGCATTGCCAACCTAATACTTTCAATGGTTTGCTGCTAATTGAATCATTTCCAAACTTATTAACCACAAAACACTACCAAGAAGGAAAAAAAGTGAAATATTGAACAAATACCTGCAATGTATAGATTTTTGTTGGTGAGATAATTCTGAAACAGAACATTAAATCTGACTGATCAGCGTCGACCTTGATTGTGGATGTCAACAAGTTCACTGTGTGACGTGTAACAGACTTTTCATCATTTGCACCACTATGATAATGATTAGAAAGCCATCGACTCAGCAGCCCTTGACCATTTTCAGAACTACTCTTTTGTGTAGTAGGCTGACTTCCACCTGCCTGAATAAGTAACAGTTAGTGTGGAGAAGAGAGAAAGAGCAACAGTTTACAGCCCATATTATTAATGGTGATTTTCATTTGACTTACAGAAGACCATGCAAATGGTTTACGATAGTAGTACAGCATCCCTCGACTGTCCAGAACAAAAAACCTTCTCTTCCAATCACCTCTCAGGTTTGAGGAACGCTTTGAAAGATAACCTTGTCGTATGGTTTGGACCTATGTAGAAGTAGTATCGAAATGGAAATGTAAATGAACTCATTAATAAATTCAAACAAGATTAAGAATCACTAGTTGAGATATCACCTTCCCGTTTGCGGCAGATTGCATAACTGCCTCGATAACTTTTTGGGATCCCCTTGTGTAAGGTTGCATGCCATCGGCAACAGAAGGACCGGTGTAGCCGGTTAAGGACAGCTTACCCTGATCAATCTGTCTGATATGTTCCTGCATCCTTTCACTTAGAGATTCCTGCTCATAGTTCGAACATTCCCTAGACTTCTGTGCGTAATCTAAGACCTGTAACCCATATACACTAGTGATTATCCACAAGAATAACAGCAGCATCCCCGATGGTATCAATTAAAAACAGTTTAAGAATTTTGAAGCATTATCAAATACCACTGTGGGCTAGAGTCATTATCTTTTTGCAGTAAAGTAGATAAGAAATAGATCTTGTCCATGCTCTTATCATACTTCTTTTTCCAAGTAGATTTAGAAATCAATCTCACTGTAGCAGGTAGCTATCAATCACCGAACCTGTATTGGCCTCATTGATGTGTCTGATGTGGATGTCTTTATTGGAATCTCTTTACTTCTGGGTTGGTAAAGGAACTTAGAATTGATTTTGAGATGCATCAACCGGGAAACCTTGGAATTGAAATGAATATGATTCGAGCATTGAAACATAAACAAAAGGTCTCTTAAAAATGCCATCTTGAACCAAACTGAATTGGCCAACTTCCCAAAACACTGACAACAATTCGATCATTCCAATAATTAAGAGCTTCAATGCAATAGGAGGGGAATAGCCGATGAAACCAATGGGAACAATGGCAAAGTAGGCTCTTCCGTGTCCTTTATTAAGAGATTGACACGGGAATAAATGGCAGAAAGAAGGACTAAGGTGTTGTTTATAATTGTGATGAGTATTATTTCATGGGACAAAAAAGTAAAAGGTTATTTTGAATTGAAGTACCAGATAATAAAGGTGAGAAAGATAATGATGACGTCGACGATCTTGAATTTTCTTTACATGCCATTTGCGGGATTCGCAGTTCATTTACTATGCAACTGATATTAGTACTTGACGACTCGAGCAGTAAGCACAACTTCCTACGTGAAGATTTGATGCAAAAATTAGGATTGGAAGTATGGAAAAAACTTAGGCTGCAAGTTTGCGGCAAATGGAGAACGGGTACCTACCATAAGCATCAGTAAATCAGTACAGTTCATGGTTGCAAATGATAGCTTTCAAGCTGATTTTTATGCCATACTATTAGAGGGGTTTGATGTGATTTTGGGGGTGAATTGCCCGTCTAGCTCAGTTGGTAGAGCGCAAGACTCTTAACCTTGTGGTTGTGGGATCGAGCAATTCATAATGGAGGTCTTCTACGGAAGTTACTCTCAACCTGGCGTTGGAGACAGCCTACTACCTTACCTCTCTCTTACCTCATTACATATGGGAATAGGGTCAGCTAATTTTGATGTGATTTTGGGGGTAAAATGGTCGTGTACTCTTGGCCCAATTTATGGGATTTCAGCTATTTGACTATGAAATTTGCTGTAAACGAAAAGGAGATACTATAGCGAGGGCAACTTCAAGAGATAGTTCCACAACTTAGTCTAATGCAAGGATAGAAATCAACTATTATAGTCTTGAATAAACTACTACTGATCGAATTTGCACCTTTGTTCCAAGAGCCATCCGAGTTGTCTCCTGACAGCGAATA